TGACCATCAGAGTGGTTATCATACGGCACACCAAAGCACACAACAATAATGAATGCCACTCAGCCCACCACATGTCCACATGAACACAGGGGCAAGACACTGAGATACCAAGGTTTTGTGCCGCACTGCCAACCTCAGCGCACAGGGGCAAGTCTGCAAACTTAAAATTGTCAGACTTCATACAACAGTACTCACAGCCATTCCAGAAAGACAGTTTCTTTGCGGTTTTCCATTTTTTGAAAATCAAAAAGAAAATACAATTTTCCCTTATTTTCACCCTCTAGCATCTTTCTATCCTCTAGAAATTCTAAACTATTTCTGAGCTTTGAATTATATAAGTTACAAGATGCAAGCGATAACCTGATTGGGTAATGTCTATCATCTGCAAGACTGATTCTAATAGACAGAAATCTTAAAATAAAATTGAAATTCTCTTGGGTAAACACAGACTTCAGAAGAGCTGCCCCTTTGCTTTGTCTCTGTAGTTAGAATTACATTTTCTCCCTTCCACTTCTTTAAATATACTGGATACTGCATTGACAACAGACACCTAGTGACTTGCTGGCTGTCAGAACTGGGCAGCACAGGGCCCGTGACCTGACATGTCACTGATAATTATTCCGTGCTGAATTATATGCACCATGCACATAAGCAATCAACTATGCTTTTATTTTTTAGAATGGCACTATACATGTTCATGTAATGAATTATATAGCCTTCTCTTTCCCATTATAATTTCTATTATTACAATTACTATATAAGCATTTGAATCAGTTTAGTACTTTACTTATATAAAAATGATTAAATTTAAATTCACTCATTAAATACTTTTAAAGAATGTGAATGAATTTTAATTTATATGCTGTATGGAAGGAAAAATAGTTAAAACCAATACTGAAGAGAAGAGTTGAAGAAATATTTTTTCTAATTTAGTGGGTTTCAAAGATGTGAACTTCGGAGTATATTTGTAAATGGAAACCAAAGATATTCTTAATTCAGTTAAGATTTATAAAAATCAAATACTCAGAACTCTTAGTAATCATGAATAACAAGAGAACAATTAAAATGTTAAGAACAGTCAGTTTTGTGACTCAGAACTAAGTGGAATAATCTTTACTGACATAGACACAAATAAAGAGGTAGCAACAATTTAAATATCCAACTGTCAGGTTAACAAAAAACAGAGCTATGGCTTTAACGGATATGTCTTCTTGAATCATGAAATTAATCAACTGGATTTTTTAAATCACCATATATAGTATCAGAAACTAAATTTATTGCTAACTACAGCAATAACTAATCAGTTACCTATATGATTTGCAAAATTCAGTTTTTGGAGATGCAAACTCTAAAGGTAATGGTGAAGCTGTTAATTGAAATTATTTTAGAAAATTAACAGTCAAACTACTTTGTTCACTTTACACAAGGTCTCAACGTAAGTCAACTTTAAACAAACTAAAAAATCCCTATATGACTATGAAGACTGAGGTTGAGTTAGTAATCACGAAGACAAAACTACACAAAGAACAGAACTAAATACAGTTTATAAAAGTGAAACGTATGCCAGTGACTTCTAAGTGTTTCTGGAATCTGAGAGAGAGTAAACGAACTGATGTTACAGTGCCATGTGCAAATTGCTTATGAAAGAAAGTCCATATTAAGAAAAAATACAAATAAAAAAAGGAGTTATGTAAAATAAAGGCCATATCATTTAATGTCATACAGCCCCCTAATTCTGTATAAGAAAATTATCTGAGGTTACAACTATCATTGAGCTCAATCTCCTGATTACTTTTAGACTCTAATCCTAATTCACATCAGAGGCTTTTGTTAGTTCAATGTCATGGTTAAAAAGATAAGAAAATAATAGAGAAAGCATTCTGGGTAACTTAAATAAATATTGCCATGGAGGACATGGAAATTCTAAGTCATCATTACCAAACTGGAAGCAGTGGAAACCTAAGATCCCCACTGGCCTGGCACTGCCATTCACACAGACTTTGTCTTCTTGTTTATTCTCACTGAAGTATTGTGAGAGGACCCACAACCACATAATAGTGACCAGCAGTCACTGCCTTTGAAGGGACCTATTGATGCCCTACAGGGAGTACCGGACTTTAAGGATGTGTCTTCTCTAAAGATACCCCTTAAACAGCTGGATGTCTGAGAAAGCAGACCTGCCTTCCGCCCCGATGAGAATTCTGCATTGCTGTTGGCAGTGTTCAGTGCACACTACGAAAACCTCGCTGTTTGTCCACAGAAGCAGCAAGTCTGACAGAGGACTGGCAAAGAAAAGAAAGTCTTCCTTCACATCAGTGACAAGTAAATCCTGTCTCTCAGTAAAGATCAACTTTCAGTGAAGACAGATCTGAACTACTGTTTGTGGAGACTGAAACTCAGTGGCTGATTCGAATGTGTTATAGTCATCATTAAAGTGCAGGAAACTTGCAGTAGCTGTGTCATGATTTTTCCTATTCTCACAAAAACATGACAAGTAATCTAATAACCCTGAACATATACCAAATAATGTAAGAACAATTTCAATGCTAACAGTTACTGTCCTTACATGCTAGTAATTGAGGAAAATGTAAACTTTATCAAAATGTATTTAAATTATCACTGTTTTTGCATGGTGATACAACATATAATTGCTGATGTATTAGATACACCTGATAGTTACATTTAAATTTAAATTTAATTTTAATTTAATTGCTGAAATTGAGGGAATGCACATAGCTACAATGTAAGAATTCACACAAAACAGGGAAATCAGTGCTAAAATGCTCACTTTGATTTGACAAATATGTACAGTCACTGCATATAAGCACTATTTATTAAAAAGTGAACAAGAAAATAATGGAAAGTAGAATATTGTATGATATGCTTTCCTATCAAAAACTGATTTTGTGAAAAATCACTGCAAAACTATATAGCAAAGACCTGGAAGTGAAGGACTAACTGGCAAATTCAGAAAGATGGTATATTAATAAACTACCAATCTTCACTCACTCAACACACAGCATCTGTGTGGCAGGACTGTACTAAAAACACTGGGAACACAGATCTCAAAAGGACAGGCCCTGTACTGAAGCTGTCCAGTAAGAAAGCAGAAATATTATAAAACATTTCCTACATGCACAGAGCATAGTTACAGAATAGGAAACTACTCCAGGAGCACCACGGATGGAGGTGTGCCCACCCAACCTGGAGGCACACAGCAGGTGGTCATGAAAAGTTCCCAGGGTGCAGGGCCTGGGAGGTTAGGGAGGGGCAGGAGAACAGGTGAGCAGTGGGCAGAGAGAGAAGTGGGCACCCAGCCGGCCGGCAGCTGGGGAGGCACGTGGCGAGGGAGGGAGGGAAGTAACTCACAACAAGTACAGGCAAGGGTAGTTGGCCCTCCCCACCCATGGATTTAACCAACTGAGGATGGAAAATATTTGAGGAAACAAAATGCATGGCTACATCTGTTCTGAAAATTTACAACCTTTTTTCCCTTGTCATCATTCCCTGAACAATACAGTATAACAACTATTCACACAGCATTTACATTAAGTATTATAAGAAATGTAAGATGATTTAAAGTATATAAGAGGATTACTTAGGTTACATGCAAATACTACATCTATTTACATAATGAACTTGATCAGTGGGTTTTGGTGTCTGTGAAGGTACTGGAACCATGCCCTGGGCACATCTAAGGGCCACTGCTTAAGCCTTAGCGCTGTCTGAAAAGTCTTCAGTTAGCTGGAGGGAGAATGAGTCACCTTGGAGGGTTTTAAGAAGGGGACTGCCAGAATCCAATTTTTATTTTAGAAGGATGAGCTTTTCAAAAAGGCAGAGGTGGAGCTGCAGCTGAAGAGAGGCTGCTGGGCAGGGTGCCAAGGAGAGCCCTGTGTAGCACAGCTTCCCAGATGTTACTAGGAAGATACTATGGAAATTTTAAGCAAGATATTGATAAGATCTGATTTAGACTTAAAAAGATATACTTGGAGCATGAACTGTAATCTAGTTTGGACACAGTGAGAAAAAGTAAAGTAATGGAGTTTAAGGAAGAAAAGATCAATCATGGCCAGTTGGAGGAATAAAGTCAATCATGACTATAATGACCATGATTTCAGAAAATTAAATAACTGTGGCCACATTAAATAATTGTGGTTAATGATTCTGGTTTTTAATGTAGACTTTTGGCATCACTATTGTATGTTCACACTATACAATAAAAACCAAAGGTGTTTAATAAAACAAAATAATTTCATCACCTAATAAAAGCACTACACAATAGTGCACAAAACAAAATAATTTTATCACCTAATAAAAACAAATGGTGATTAAAGTGATTAGTTAAAAGAATAAAGATTAAGCCAAATCGGTTAACAATTCACTGCTGCATACACATCCAAAAAAATCTATGTCTAATCTGAGCGTGACCAGCTCTATATTAGATCACTTCTACAATGTGTCCTACTCTTCTTCATACAAAGAAATAACTATTTGATCAATCAGAAATTATACTTGATTCAGAAAGCAATAGTAATTCTAAAATATGTATCATAAAGTAATACATATGACTATGTCAGTCATCTTTCTGTAGCTCAATTTTCTTTGGTAAATAACTATAATAATCTTACTCCTACACATTTTCCTTCTATTTTTCACCTTTTCAGCATCAGTAATGAGGTCTTATATAGAAGTAACCAGACTTCTTAAACAAAATTTTCGATGATGTTCACAAGGCCATTGCATAAAACTGTCACTCAAAGTTACTCTATTATATCCATGCAAGAAAGGATCAGAGGACATATGCATTACCAACCAAGAAATAGGTTTAAACTAATAAAAAGTTAAAAATCAAACCAATCTTCCACTATCAGTGGGTAAGAGAAAAATGTGAATATAAAAGAAAAGCATTTTACACATGTATTGATAAAAATATAACCATATCTATCATTTCAGATCAATCAGATTACTTGTAGAAAAGTCCAGTAAGTTTATTTACTTACCTGTTGGAGGCAGACAGTCTTTCCAATCAAAATAGCCTGCATAAATTCCAGGTTCTAAGGAGCCAACAATGGGATCTGCTTTCAACTCAATGTAATTTTCAAAGAGTCTTTGGTCTAGTTCTTTCAATGAGGCCATGCTAACCTATGAACACATAATAAAGAGTATGAGTTGCCTTTTTCAGGGTGATAAGTAAGATAATGTTAATAATGAATACTTTGGTTCATTTTAAAAGCATTTATCAATTTTCCTAAAAAAGCTCCTGATTTTTATTTTATCTATCTGGAGTAACAAAGACCATTCTTAGCATAGCTATTTTAGAGGATAAGAAATAATCTCCGTACAGGCACTATAGGTTACCTTTGAGAATACTGAACTTTCTTTTCTATAAGCAGAGCCAAAAGCATTATAAATTCTAATAAGAGGAAGCATCCAAAAGGGAAATACTAATAAGAATCTAGGGTGACAATGGAGATAGAACATATCAAACTCTGTGTGATAAAGACAAAGCACTGGGTAGAAATTTATATTCATAAATGTTTTAAAAGAAAGGTTTCAAAGTACAAAAGCTTAAAATTAATGCTTTAATCTTCTACCCCAAGTAGTTACAAAAAAAATTAAATTCAAAGAGAACAGAAGAAAAAAGATAAGAATAAGAACAGAAATCAATTAAATTTTTTACAGAAAATTACCAATGCCAAGAGTAGGTTCTTGGAATATAGTAATAAAAATGACAAGTTCCTAGGCAAGACTGATTAAGAAATAAAGAGAAGGAGAAGATGGCCGACTGGTAGCAACCCTAGTCAGAGGCTCCTGAGCAAAGGAAGAAAAACTGGTTGGAATCAGAATCTATGAAGCCAAAGAGGGGGAGCTGAGCCCAGAAAGAAGTTCGGCAAGCTGTAAATCCAAGGAAGATCATTTAAGAACACAAAATACAGGTACAAAGCGGGCCCCAGGACTGCTTGCTAGAGCTGCCTGCCTCCCGCGGGTGGGGGGTGGCGGGTGGCTGCAGAGAAGTCCCCTGCGCTGGGAAGGCACAGAACGACTTGGTAGAGCCTTGCGCACCCCTGTGGGTGGCATGGGTGACAGCAGACGAGTCTTCCACTCTGGGAGGACCCAGAACTGCTTGCTAGAGCGGCGTGCCCCACGGGCAGCAGAGGAGACCCCCAGTCCAGGGCTCTGGGCAGGTCCAGAACTGCTTGCTAGAGCCGCAAGCCTCCTGCGGGCGGCGGCTGGCTGGAGAGGAGTTCCCCTGCTCTGGGAAGCCACAGAAGTACTTGCTAGAGCCTTGCACACCCCCGAGGGTTGCAGCAGCCAAGACCCCCACTCTGAGAGGGCCCAGAACTGCTTGCTAGAGCCATGTGTCCCATGGATGGCAGAGTAGATGCCTGCTCCAGGGCTCTGGGCAGGTGCAGAACTGTGTGCTAGAGCCACACACCTCCTGTGGGCAGCGCGTGCCGCAGAGGACTTCCCCTGCTCTGGGCAGCCACAGAACCAATTGCTAGAGCCTTGCACACCCCTATGGGTGGCGGCGGACAAGTCCCCCACTCTGGGAGGGCCCAGAACTGCTTGCTAGAGCTGCACACCCTACGGGTGGCAGAGGAGATCCCTGCTCCAGGGCTCTGGGCCGGCACAGAACTGCTTGCTAGAGCCGCAAACCTCCTGCGGGCTGCCGGTGGCCGCAAAGGACTTCACCTGCTCCGGGAAGGCAGAGAACTACTTGCTACAGTCTTGTGCACCCCCAGGCAGTGGCAGAGGAGTCCCCCACTCTGGGAGGACCTAGAACTGCTTGCTAGAGCCGCGCACCCCACAGGCAGCAGAGGAAATTCCTGCTCCAGGACTCTGGGTGGGCCCAGAACTGCTTGCTAGTGCCACGGGTGTCCTGCGGGCAGTGGTGGAGGAGTCCTCCATTCTAGGCAGACCCAAAACAGCTTTGTAGAGACACACACACCTCACGGGGGTGGGGGAAGTGGGGGAGTTCCCTGCTCCAGGCACCTGTGCTAGGTGGGCCCAGAACTGCTTGCTAGAGCCACACGCGCCCTGCAGGAGGCGGTGGAGGAGTCTAGCGCTCTGGGCGGGCACAGAACTGTTTGTTAGAACCATGTGTGTCCCACAGACAGAGGTGGAGGTGTTCTGCACTCCAGGCTCCCATGCTGGGAGGGCATAGATTGGCTTGCTATTGCCGCACGTGTCCAACAGGCTAAGGTGAAGGAGTCCTCTGCTCCCCCTAGCTACTCTGGTGGGGCAGAACTGAGACTGATCTGGTCGGTCACGTACCCTACACTACCGCTGCCATTCCCTCACCCACTGGCTGCTCCAGGATGCTGAACTAGGACTGATCTGGCTACTACCGGTCTCCTGCCCCCAGTCGCCCGGCAGGCTAAACGAGATCTAATCCGGCCACGCACACTCCCAGGCAGCTGCTGCTGTTCCACTGCACCCCAGTTGCCCCAGCACCTGAAAACAGGGAGTAGACAACAGACACTCTATGCCTCTCTCTCTGGGCAACCAGAAGGAGCCACCAACTGAACAGTTCTGATAAGGCCTCCAAACAAGGTAAACTCAGAATGGGGCAGAATCAGGGGAAAAACCCTGGCAACTGGAATAACCAGAGTAGATCAACTCCCTCAAGGAAAAATGGGGCAGACGTAATTGAGGACCCCATCCACAAGCAAATGGCTGAAATGTCAGAAATCGAGTACAGAATGTGGATAGCAAATAAGATTAACAGGATGGAAGAAAGGAAGGACGTAGAAGTTCAAGAAATTATTGAAAAGATTCCTCAAGAAATTATTCAAAACATTTCTCAAGAAATTATCCAAAAGATATCTTAAGAAATCATTCATGTGAAAACCCCACACTATACCCAAGAAGTGCATTAATGTACATAGTTACCATTCAATAAAAAAAAAAAAAGAAAGAAATCATTCAAAAGATGTATCAAGAACTCAACAATTTCAAAGATAAAATGATCAAAGATTTTGAAACACTGAGACAAGAGGTTGCAGCCCTCCAGGATTTGAAAGATACGGTGGAATCCCTCCGTAACAGAGTGGAACAGGCAGAAAAAAGGATCTCTGATTTTGAAGACAAAGCTTTTGAAGAAGCCCAGGAATGCAAAGATCAAAAGAAATGGAGAGCAAAAATGGATCTCACTCTCAGAGA